GGGATTAGTGACTCACAGTTTCACTTACTGTAAGCCCACCATCCATCTCCAGACAAAGAGCCTAGGCCTTGGACAGACTCACAAGTAAACATGGAAAGTTAATTTAAGTCCTGCTCAAGGCTGCTTCATAGTGGTCTCCACCAGAGTAAAACATTATCAATAAAGCAAATGTCTCTTTATCCACTTTCTGTAGTTCATTTTCTCTTCTCCCTTTCCCTCTCCCCCCATTCCCCTCTGTGCCTCTTTACTCATTCCCTTTTCTCATTCCACACCACCCATTCTGGCCTTATCTCCACTGTTTAAATACAGCAAGAACTCTTTGCCACAGGGCCTGTCCTGGAGCTCTTCCTTCTACCTGTGTTAATTTTTTTTTTTTTTTTTTTTTTTTTGAGACAAGGTCTCTCTGTGCAGTTCAGGCTGACCTTGAGCTCACTTTGTAGCCCAGGCTGGTCTTGAACTCTCAACAATCCTCCTGCCTCAGCCTAATCCTCCTGCCTCAGCCTCCCAAGTGCTGGGATTACAGGCGTGCACCACCCCACCTGGCTATCTGTGTTACTATTATCCTAGATATGTGCTGGCTTTATCTCTCCTCCTCCAAGTCTTTGTTCAGATGTGACCTACTAATCACCATAGAAATAACACTCCCTTCCCCACCTCTTCTAGCATTCATGAGTCCTCTTACTATAGTCCACACTCTCTATTATAGCAATTATTGTTGCTTAACATGCTATATAATGTATTTAGTTATTGTAGGTATTGCTTACTATCATGTTAGTTCAAGAATCTTTGCTCTTTAATTTATTGATATATCCCAAGTGGCCTCAAATAATACTTGTCACATGGTACTCAATAAATGTTAGGTTTTAAACATCCTTTGAAGGGCTGCGGATTTAGCTCAGCGGCAAAGTGCCTGCCTGGCAAGCACAAGGTCGTGAGTTTGATTCCTGGTACCGGAAGAAAAACAAAAACAAAAACAAAACAAAAAAAAAAGCATCCTTTGACTCACATTAGTGGGCATATCCCCCAAAGAGATTTTTCTAGTATTTCCTCCACCCGCTCCCACATCCTGGACAGCTCCTTGGGCTCATCTTTATTATAGTAACCAAGATTTCATATTGAGATGATTTTTTTTGTATCTGTCCCATGTTAGTACAAAATCTTTTCACGTAAAATCATGTCCTATTTATGATATGCCTCTAGGGATTTATACAGTGCTTATTGAACTAAATTGAACAGACAGGAACGACAAACCCAGAAAAGAGACATGACATATCACCAATTAATTTGAAAATCTATTGGTATGAAGGTAAGCAAGAGAGCCAGGGTCAACTTAGTGTCCTTTCACTTTATTGTCTGAGGGTAGAACTAAATAATTATAAGCAACATGACCCCTGTGCTTGCTTCTCAAGCTCCAACTTTCACTGAATTCTTGATCAGAGGATAAGACCTTGTAGTGAAGACCATACTCCTTTCCCCTGGCAGAAGTCCCTTTCTTCTTCTTAGAGCCTGGGCCACAGGGGTGGCACTACTCTGCAGGGCATGTCTCACTCTGACGTTTATTGACAGATCATTCAGAGAAGATCACCAGTGTCTCTGGCAACAATGTGACTCTGCAAAGCTCCAAGAAGCTGCTTGGTAACTACACACACAGCACCTGGTTTTACACTACCAATCAGAAGATTGTGGAATGGGACTCAAGCGATGTGAACTACTTCAACACTAGATTCAAACACAGGGTCAGACTTGATCCTCGAAGTACTGCACTGCACATCTACAACGTCCAGAAAGAGGACAGTAGTACTTACCTCTTGAGAGTATCAAATGAGGGCGGATCTGAATATGAGATCAACATAATCTTAGAGGTGTTTGGTGAGTTAGGGAAACCAAGTCCCCACTCCAGGGCTCTGGGTGGACTACTTCCTGGGACTCCGGGTGGACCACTTCCTGGGACTCCAGGAACACTGTCTGGGAGAAGGAGCAGAAAGTCTCAGGAGAGTCTTAATTCATTTCGCCTGAGGCCCACTCCCCTCCGGAGTGGGCCTGGGCCAGCAGACTCTCCCAAAACTGTTTCTTTTCTATTTCTTTCCTTCTGTCCTATAATGAACTCATATCAGTTCTGAGTTTGTATTAATTGTATTTCTGATCTTGAACTTCAGACTTATGGGAAAAGGTATAAAAATTACATACAGGAGATATTATGGGGAGTTTTTTTTTAACCTATCAGGATGAGTGTGACAAAAACTTCCACATAAAGCTCCAGCCTAACCAATGTATAAGGAACAAGGACTGAGGTGTTCTGCTTGGAGTCAGACAGACCTGGGTTCAAAACTCTGGTTAAGTGAGATAAGAGGTACAGAAAGACAGTTACATATATTCTCACTCATTTTTGGAAGTTAAAAATGTTGACCTCATAGTAGAGAGGAGGATAGTTAACTTCTAGTTAACTACTGGTTAACTTCTACTAGTTAACTTCTAGTTAACCTCCAGGAGAAGTTAGCTAGGAGAGAGAGAGAGGAAAGATTGAAAAATAAGCACAAAAATACAGTTATGTAACTCACAGAAAACCATTCACTGAGCTTCATCCCTGGCCCTTTTTATTTTATTTTGAAACAGGGTTTCACTCAGGCTGACCTAGAATTAATTTCTAGTACTCCTACCTCAGCCTCTTGAGTAGCTTGGATTATAGGCATGTGCCACCACACCTAGATTATTTATTAGATATTTTACAGTAACTAGAAAAGTTCAAAGGTTCCTGACATAGAAATGACAAATGCACCAGGTATGCTGGCCCAGACCTGTGATCCCAGCACTCTGGGAGGGTGAGGCAGGAGGATCCAAATTTGGACCCCAACCTTGAACCATTTAGCAGCTTAGTGAGACCTTGTCTCTAGATTAAAAAAGAGTTGAGGATGTAGAAATGTGCAAAGGTCCTTGGGTTAAATTCCCAGTACTGCAAATTTAATAGTAAGTAAATGTTTGAGGAGATGAATGCTAATTATCCTGATCTAATCCCTCCTAATTGCAGACATGTATCAAATTATCATACTATACCCATAAATATGTAAAATTATTGTCCATTAAAACTTAAAACCAGAAACAGCAACAACACAACCTCTGGTCAGTCACTCACTTGCTCTGTGATATTGGAGAACTATCTTATTATCTCTAGGGCCATATTAGGTAAGGTTCTTTTGAAAACAAATATCAAAAACCAATTCACTATATCTTTACTCAAAAAGAAGTTATTTTAAGAAACCCAGAGGAACTCAAGCAGTACAGAAGAGTCAAGAAGAAATAAATGGGAAAAATATCGAGAATCAGGGCCAACTGAGGGTCTCTAGGGTCAGGAATTTGTGGAAAGTGGCTATGGATTCCTGTCATTAATATAACTTATCTCTCAAAGTTTAGAGTTTGTTTTCTTTGAGTTTAAGTTCACAGATAAATGGGATGAGAGAGAAACCGATGTATCCAACTTGCTTCAAGCTTGTGTATCTGATTTAAATCTTTATGGCCCAAGGAATCGAGTAATAATGTGGAAATGAAGCTCCCAGGGAGGTTTCCATGGGGTTGGGGTAGGCAGTGACTGTGGACGAGGGGCCAGGCTGATGGTTTTTCACCTCAGACCCTTGAGTTCCTCAACATATTATGAAAATAATTGTATTCTCCTTTCAAGGTGTTATGAGGATCAAAGTGGAGAATCGAAGTAGAGAAAACATTATAGGGAATTAGAAAATAATTCTTTGATAAAATATTGGAGATAATACAGAGTTTCACTAGCCAAGGTGGTAGGAGTTCACCATTGTAATTCCATTACGTATTGTTACCTTCAAATCAGTTGCTCAGACCACCAGACACAAGCATGCACAATCGATCAGAACATAAAAAATTGTAATCATTAACTGTTCATATCAATACACCATTAAACATCAGCAAATGTAGTTGAGGATAGCGATATGTAATGTAACAACCATTGATTCGTATTATTTTGTCTTGAGACTCTATCGCTTTGAATGTTCTTGCTTTGATTTGTTTATGTTTGTAATACTGGTATGTTGCTACTGTTCTATTTCTTTGTTTCTCACTTACTACTGTCTTTAAAATAAAATTTTAAAAAAGTAGAGAAAACACTTTAAAAATGCTAACACAGTGCAGATAAAGTGTTGAATATATTCAGGTCCTACTAGCTAGGTGGTCCCTGGTGTAAGAAGCCAGATACTCCTTCTCACTCACTGCCTCCATATTATGTGGCCTGGGAATACAGGACATCTGGGAATGGGAAGGTTTCTTGCCATGATATCCTCTCCAAGATCAAACATGGAGAAAGCAATCAAACACAAAAGCCGCTATTTGTGTTACCCATTTACAAGCATTTGTAATTGCTGTAGTGTAAATACTTCCACCACAGTCACAGGAAGTTCTTTCTTTTCTGTTACTCCTCCAGAGTCTAGGAGGATGGCATTTCCCTGGGGTGGCTGTGCAAAAGACTTTGCAAGGTGCAAGCTGTTACTTCTTACCTTGAGGCTCTCCCTAAACCTGGACTTCAGAATTCCTGAGGGGCAGACTAGCCACAAGGTGCCAACTGTGGCCCATTCGTAGAGAACGGGCATCTCAGATACTAAGTGCGACCCCAGCTGATCTTTTAGCCAGCAGTACTCTGTGCTTTCTGCCTCATAGGTGATCATCATCTTGTTTTGTGCCTGGTTGCAAGTATGTGATGGACCCTGGCTCCCCCTTGTGGATGCAGCTTTTAGCACCACCTCCAAGGAGGAGTTTTGGCCTGGGAAGCCTCCCAAAGTCCAAGCGACTCACTGGCTCCCTCTGTAGGACACTCTTCTCCACTACACTGCCTCCCATGGCGCTCACAGCACTTCCCAGGTTCTCTTTGTACTTTGTTAGCTAAATGCCTCATGAATCATTAGTCCATTGCCTCATTTGATAACACCCCTCTCCTTTTCAGATCCTGTACCCGAGTTTCTTATAGAATTGAAGGAGGTCAAGAAAGTGGGTGATAACTGTTACCTGAATCTATCCTGTGAAATACAAAATCAGTCTGTTGACTACGTCTGGTATACAGACTCGGGCATCTTTCCAAATGGGCACAAGAGAAGTGTGCTTGAAGTTAATCTTACGTCATCACACAAGCAGTCCACATTTTACACCTGCCAAGTCAGCAATCCTGTCAGCAGCCAGAACGATACAGTCTACTTCCGTCCTCCCTGTACTCTGGGTAAGAAATAACCCCTAGAGGGCTGGAGTGAGTGTGGTCTCCAGTTTTCATTCGATTAAAGAAAGTTATGGGAATGGGAATACTCAGCCTTCTGGCCCAGAATGTGGTGGAGAATCCCAAAAGCACCTAGGTACTTGGGAGACTTGGGTTCCATGTCTGGCTTTGCCACCTCAGCCAGCTCACCTCACCCTTGTGGAGCTCGGTGACCTCATCAGCAAAGGGTCCGACACAGGATCTCTGATGCTCCCTTCTCTCCCCAGCTCTCACAATGCGCTGTCCCAGATCTGAGGCCTGGGAGCTGTGGGACAGGCTGAGGCATCCAGGCGAGCAGCTAGGACACAGGGCATGTGGACAGCAGTCCAGGCACCGTGGAGCAGACACCTGAAGGGGTTTCTGCTGGACAGCCCGAAGCAGCGAGGAAAGAGGGAAAAGTAGATGAGCTGAGAGCGGCCGGTGAATGGGGGTGACGGCCTCATCCGCAGGTGGAGACAGCTAGGTTTGCTCTGTGTGGTGAAGGTAGAAAGCAAACTCTGGGTTTCATATTTTCTGATTCCACTGTCTCCTCCGAGGATTCACTTGCTAGACCACCACACCAGGCTCCAGCTCAGCCACACGGGTGCAAGAGCAGGCCAGCTTGGGTCATGGGTTTTAGAGTCAGTCATACCTGTAGTCAGTCTGGGTACTGTCACTCACATACTAACCAAGTTACTCAGCTTCTCTAACCTATATTAAATTAGAGACAAAATAATGGCTCTTATCTCATGGTTTATAAAGGATAAGTAACACAAGATGTGTGACCTACTGGAGGTTGTGCCTGACAAGTCCTCAGTGAAAGGCGGCTAGATTAGGCTCAGCCTCTTCAACTCCGGAGACACTTGGACTTGGCAGGACGTCTTATAAATTTGGATCACAGTCTCTGCAGTTTAGGCCCTATACCTTCCACACCACTAAAGTCCCTCAGCCCCGACCTGCACATTCTTTCACAATCACTCATAGCCATGATGTTGAAGTTTACTCTGGTCTCTGTCTGTCCCGTTGGGCACAGGGATCCAGGTTCTGGAGACACTGTTGTGTCATGGTCTTCTGGGTTAACATTCCCTTTCACCCATGCTGATGTCCTTTCTTTCTTTTTCTTTCCTTTTTTTCCTTTCGCAGTACTGACTAAACCTAGGCCTTCACACTGAGCTACATCCTCAATCCTTTTTTAAATTTTTTCTTTTTTTAACTTTAAAGATTAAAAAGCTAACAAAACAGCAATGAAGACAAATTCAAAAAACATAAAAACAACAAAAACGATACCTGACCTCAAAACAAAATGATAGGAATTAACAATGGCTGCTACATTACATAGTTGTCTTCAACGAAGTTGTTCCGTCCACCAGATATAAGAACGTATGACTGATCAATCAAAGACTGTAACAATAAAAAAAAAACATTGGAAGTGACGCAGAGCTTCACCATACAAGATGGTAGGAGTTCAACAATGGTTCTTATACTGCGTATTGTTTTCAGATCAGTCATTCTGATTACCAGATTCAAGCGTGCAAAGTTGGTCAAGAAAAAGGAAAATTTTAAGCACTGACTATTCCTTTCAATAAACCACAGACATCAGCAATACACCTATTCCAGCTATCCTTATATATACATATAAATTTTGTTTTTCATTTTTAAAAAAACAAAAAAATACGTAAACAAAACAGTGTAGAGAATAATAAAAATGATACAGAATTTCAAAACATGATGATAGGATATTAATGGTTGTTATATTATATAATGTCATCTTCAAAATGTACATATAACCAGATATAGGCATGCAAGATTGATCAAACAATCACACATTAACAGTTCCTTTCAATAAACCAACAGATATTAGTAGTACAGTTATCCTAGCTATCCTGTGTATACATATACATATGTTTTCCTCTTCTTTCTTTTTTCTCTCCCCTCCTTCATCCCAGTTGCTCCTTCCTATTTGAGCAGTTTCTTTTCCCTTTCACAATATCTATTGTACCTTTCAGATTTTATTTACTCTTTCAGGTTCTTATAGTAGGGAGGAAATACAATGTTTTGCACATGTCAATCTGATTTATTTCACTTGTGAGTATAGTCTTTCGTTGCATCCATTTACCTATAAAAGCCTCTAGTTTATCTTTCTTTATAGCTGAGTAATACTCCAATGTGTAAAAATACCACTTCTATCCATTCCTCAGTTGATGGACATTTGGGTTGTTTCCAAGAAATTTTTTCTTTTGCGATAAGGTTTCCCTAAGCTGCTAAATTGCCCAGGCTCAAATTTGGAATCTCCTACCTCAGTCTCCCAGAAAATTCTCAAAGTGCTGGCATTACAGGCTTATGCCACCACTCCAGACTCACCTGAGCTGATTTCTTTACCTGTTTCCACAGATGAGCTATGGGATCCATATGCTCTTCGTTCTTTTTTGGGAATGTTAGGGTTTATACTAGATGTCCCCAAAGGACTTAAGGGCTCCTGGGTGGAGTTGTTGGAAGGTGACTGAATCATCCATGACACGGTACAGCTGACTTGCTGTTAGAAGGAGGGTCTGGTCAGAAGAGGTGGGTCACTGAGGATGTGTCCCAGAAGGGTGTGTATCTTCCTTCTGAGTTCTTCCCTTAGTTCTCTGCTTTCCAGCTGCCATGATGTGAATGGCTGTCCTCCACTGGTCCCTTCCACCCTGCCTTCCTGCCTTGGAGCCAGTAAACTATACACGGAAAACATAAACCAGAATAAACTTCTGCTCCTTTAAATAGTGAGTGTCTGGTACTGTGTCCCAGTAACATGCAAAGCTACTAAGACACCAACTAGCTGTTCACGTCTGTCTAGCCTCTCCTAGTGTGCCCTACTCTTCCGCTACCAGAAAGCCAGTGTGACAGGCGGATGTGTTGATTTGGCTGGGCAGTTCTGGCACTGCTATCATATTTATACCACACTGTGAGATCCAGAAAAGGGAAGAGGCACAGCCCCATCCCTTATAAAATGTGAGTGACTGCTCATCTGCAGAGAGGATAGAAGCAGTAACATATCCATTTGAGGGAAGGGGTAGATCAATCTTGTCACTTTTAGCCACCAAAATTATCCTAGAAAACACCCTTCGTCTCCCTTTCTGTTATATTACCAGTCCCTGTTGATGATTTCACCTCTCCTTTTCTTTCTTCCATTCTTTTCTTTCCTTTCCCATCTCTCTTCTTCCTTCCTATTTACCTCACAGTACAGGTGGTGAGTGGGATGGAGAAACAAGGAGAGGACGTGGCCCTTCCATCATTCAAGCCAGCTGTGCATAGCAGTATAGAGTCCTCTGGGTCTGTACCTGACACTCTGCCCTCTCTCATTGCTGTCCTGTGCATGGCACTGATTCTTTCCAGGCTTGGAGATATGTCAAGGTAACTACTTTCAAGCACAGAACTCAGATAAGCCAATGATTTTTAAGGGATTTTTGCACTCTTTATACTTTATATCTGGAGAAGTTGAGCCCTTGCAGAAAAGAGAAAACTGGGATTGGATTCAGGAAGGAAATTCCTTCCCTTGTTTTGCAAGTTCCCAAACCAACATCCAGGACTCCTGCCCTTTCTCAGCACATGAATCAAGACACTTAAGTGTTTGGGCTTTTCTTGTCTTTCAGTCCGATCCTCTGGAGTGATGAATATCATAAATTGGTTAGTGACCTTGATACCCATCATTCCCGTGCTCCTACTCACCTGAAATGACTCTTCCAACTCAAGAAGGAAACTTCCAGGCCAGATGATCGTGCCTTCATCAGCAACCGCAACCTCAGCCAGGCCAGAGGCTTCAGCTGTATGTGATAAGAACAAGTATGTTATGGAAGCACTTATGAAGCTTTTCAGTTAACTTTTGAAAAACAGTGGTTAATGATTCATTTTATAATCTGGTGCTCCATAAACTTATTCATAACTTGACTGCATTAAGAGACTCCTGGAGAGGTGATTGGATCATGGGGACCTTACACTCATTGGTGGACCACGCCATGCTATTCATGGCTGAATGTATTGCTAGGAGTTGGGGTCCCACTGGAGGTGCACCCCTGGGGGCGTGCCTGCTGCTCTTTCCCTGTGCTCTGATTCCTGGACACCATGAAGTGACAAATTTTTTCCTCCACTATACTCCTCTGTCATGAAATTTCTGCCTTGGAGCCAGCTGACTGTGGATGAACCCTGATCCTGAGAAAGTATGATTCCAAATAAACTTCTGCTCTTTTAAGTTATGTGTATCAGGTATTTTGTTCCAGTGACAGGAAAGCTGATCAGTATAATCCCATGGGTGTTCTTCAGCACACACATATAGATACACATGCATTCTTTCCACCAAAAACATGTGACTACATTGTGCTAATACGTTCTCTTTTAAATTTTTTAAAAATGTATTTACTTTGCATGATGCCAGTGATCAAACCCAGGGTCTTGTGTGCTAGGCAAAAGTTCTGCTATTGAATTACCAGTCTTCTTACTAGTTAAGCATTTGGCATGATCGTCAAAGTGGATTCTTGAGTTGTTTCAAAGCTGTCAGACAGCACCATTAGCCTGGATAGACTGGAACATGGGGAAGAGCCTGGGATTCCAGGCTCTGTGCGTCAGTGCATCTAAGGAGCTAGATTGTACTTCCTCTGACCTTTGTCCCAACACCCATGCCAAAACCTGAGGTTCCAGCTCTCCCAGACCCTCTCCCATGCCAAGTTCTGATCTCCCTGTCAGTGCTTTGACCAGAAAACTACCCTCCTTAGGTTTCCCATGAATATGAAGTCAGGCTCACTCTCTGAGAACGAAGTATGCAGCTTTCCTACCTGAGAAGGGAACCCTGAGTTTTCCCTTCTCTTCACCACGTGGCTATGTGAGCCCCTCTTCAATCTTAGTTGAATCATGGATCTAATGAAACCATCAAATGGACACAAATGTCCTTTCCAGGGTTTCATATTGTAAACAGGAGTCCCCTAGCCTACCCCTGCATAATACCGAGAACTTTTCCTGTCCGTCTTCTCCTTCAAGTCTCCTTTTGGGTGAAGAGCTGGGCGGTCACTAACAAATGCTCTCTCCCTTCAAGGAACTGGCTATTATAGACAACTTTTTCCTTGAACCAGCCCAGCCTCTCCCACCTCTCCTTTTATTGTCACAAAGAAGCATCTTCCCCACCAAACCCTTTCTATTTCCCCTTGATCAGGAGAAAGATTCTTTTTCACAGCAACCTTTGCATCTGGCTGGGATCAAGTACTTGGTTCTAGCCAATAAGAGGTGAGCAGAGTCAACATGGCAGGAAGTAAGGGAGTCGGGGAAGTGGAGCCACATAGCAAGGACCCTGGGAGTGAGCCGTTGTTTGGAAAGCAGCTGCCTGTCTGCATTGCACATGTATGATGAGGAAGTTTGGGTTTTGTCTGATATTAGAAGGTGACCATGGCTCCCTAAGACACCCCCTGTCCCTTAGGCCAGCCTGCAGTCCCAACCCAATATCAGCTCTCATCAGCCTGCACCCTTCAATCAGACTGTCTCAGCCTCCTTTTTGGAAATTGCTCCTGCTGTATTCCCCTCGCTTTTCTTTGTGGAGGAGGAGTTTCTCTTGGGAAACATACCCACACCCACATACGCACACAAACACACACACATGCAGGCACACCTTTCCTAGCATCACATATTAGATCTAGTACCTTGGAAGCCCAGGAAATCTCACTTTAGATGGTCCAGGTCACAGGCATTGCCTCTTCCCTGCCCTTCTCATCTCTTGGGGCAGCATCAGACGCATAGTTTTTGAGGCACAATACAAAATGAAAATGTGGGCTCTTGGTTCAAAATGCAGGAGAATAATACCCTAAAGGTATTGCTGGATGTGGTGGTACGTGACTGTAATCTCAGCACTCTGGGAGGCTGAGGCGGAAAGATCTCAAATTCAAACCCAGTCTGGGCAACTTAGTCACTTATCAAGACCTTGTGTCAAAATAAAAAAATAAAAATGGGCTGGAGAACTGCACAGGCTCTGGGTTCAAACCCTAGTATCCCACACACACTAGGAAAAGTTAAAGCTTTTTCCTTTCTTCCACAGCTTCTCCTTCTCCTTGAGATGGCATGTCTTACTTGCCCTTTGATATTGCTCTAAGTGAAAATAAATAAAATTTTAAATTATTCTCATGAATTGTACTGTCTGCATTGTGCAATGTTAATTGATAATGCAACTACAGGAACATTCAAGCTGCTTGTGGAATCACTGAAATCACTCAATTTATATGTACAGCTCATGGATGCATTTGTACTTTGTTCTCACCCAAACAATATAAACACTGTGAAACCTGACTTCACATTTTATGTTACTTCTGGCTACACACGCACTTTCCCCCACAACCTATGCAAGACAGCAGCTGCTGTAACAAGATCTCTCCATGCTCACATGGAGCTCATTGCGCTCCCAAACACTGAGCGTCACTGCTGTGCTGTATGTAATGGGCACAGGAAATGGGGCAACAAATGAAGGGAAGTGGACACACGTTTTTGTGTATCTCCTCCTCTTATGCGCATGCTCCATGGTCCTAACGCATTTCAACCTAGAATCTTGAGTTGAAAGATAAAATTACTTAGCATTTGCAGACTGGGACAGGAGAGCTCTAACTCAAGGGCAGTATCTCTTTCAACAGAGCTGGATTTGCCTCGGGAACATCTAATTCCCGTGCCAAGACAACTGCCATCTTTAGAAGTTACTGTGCAGGGGTCACGCCTGATTCTCTTGTGTTTCCAGCTCTTTATGTGTTTCTATACATCAAAACTTAGCATGGTGGGCTTAGGAGAGAGTTCGAGTGTGAGGTCCTAGGTTCTATCATCAGTATTGCAAAAAACAAAACCAACCAAACAACAACAAAAAACCAAACCAAAAAACAAACAAACAAAAACCCCAGTTAGTGGGCTAGTGTTTCACTTTTCAGCAAACTCAAGCCATCTGTCTTCACCCAAAGAAGATGGTCCAGCACTGATGCAGCGTTCTTACCCAGAGCAGCCCCACTGAATGGAAGTCTTGGAGCAAACTGCTTCAACTGTCCCTCCTCGAGCTCTGGCAAGCTCTGCAGCACTGACCTCTGCTGGTTCCCCTCCGCATGTGTGTGTAAATTTAATCCCTTGGATTAGACAAGGGCTTCTCAAACTAATTTAACAGCACATCGCCTGGGGATCTTGTTAAAATGCAGACTCTGGATCAGTAGGTCTGAGTTGGAGTCTGAACTTCTGCATTTCTAAAGAGATCCCGGAAGATGCTGTCTGCCCACTTTTTAAGCAGCAAATCACAAGATGACTCCAAGCTTCTTTGCTGTTCTGACATTTAGCTCGATGGTTTAAATCTCTTCCCAAGATTTGGTTCTCTCCTCTACTTTTTGCCCTGCTCTGCGCCTGGCTACTACACTCATTCTGTTCTCAAGTCCAAGTTTCCACTGGTCTCTCCTAAGTCCCATAGTCTCCAGGTACACAAGTTGTGCCCTAGGGACCAGCTTGTTCCAACAGCCACTACAGGGTTACACATGGGAGGCTTGCAAGGCCAGGAACTCCTATGCATGATGTAGGCTTCATATCTAGCTTGGCACAAACAAATGGCTTGGATCGTGCCCTGGTGGTGGAACTAGACAGAGTCACACATGAACTAGACTCAAGCCCTCAGCTTAGTGAGATCATTCATTCGTCACCCATACTGACTGAGTGCTAGGTGCTGAGACCCTGTGCTGGGAGTTTCTCAAGAAGAGCTAACATCAAATGAGCCTGTGGATGTGCCAGGTTCTGCTCTGTGCTGAGCGCATTACCTGATGCGGACAGGTGTTGGGAGTGGAAGTATTTCCAAAATTCTTCTCTTAGGATTTGGACTTCAAATGGCCTTGGCCACATGAATTCTACCCAACTGTTGCTGAGATCAAAGCATGTATACAAAGGTTCTACATTGGATCTTCACTTCTTGTCCAAGAATAAAAGGAACAAACTCTTCCAGGGCTCTTGGGAAATGTTCAAGTGCATTTGTTGAAGTGGCAGCCCCTCTACCTGGAAGGGTGTGCTTTCCCTAGCCCCCCATTCCTCCTCACCCACTGTAACCTCAAAATACCGCAAGGTGGGGGAGGGGGTGGATTTAGCCCACAACCACCTGCACAGGCTGGCGAATGGTAACCCCAGGCCCTTACTCTCTTTCACCAGCTGTTCTGCCCCTCCCCCATGCTCTGGTTGGGCAAGCTTCAGCCCAACCCTTCTCCCTGACCCCAGACTCAATTTTTTTCTCTCCTCTACTAGCTTTACTTCCTTCAAGCTTCTGTCACTTTCATTTTCAATTCCTGTCATCTTCTCATCTTTTTTTTCTGCATTACTCTGATCCACCCCACCCTACTGACCTGCTTCTTTAACCACTTCTGCTTTTTGCCTGAGCCTTAGTTCTGCCTCAGATAGTCTGTCTGCACATGGGGGCGGGGGCTGTCTGCCCAGCCCTGATAGGCCCTGGTTTGCTTTCTTCTTCTCTTAGTGAAATAGGGAATATGGTCCAATGGATAAGTGCCTCCCAGTTCGGTGAGCCTTGTGTCCTGGAGTTTGGTTTGGGCAGGGGTTCCCTAAGACAACACAGGAAACACATTAACTAATTCTCTCAACCAACATAATAGGATTCCTGAAGGAAGTTTTCCTAATGCCTCTTTTTTAAAGCTAGGACAAAAAGACTACATTTAAAGAGAGCTACAAATTAACTAAGGGCAACATCACCTCTAGGACTCAGCGACAGGTGTTTAAATGCTACTGCTACCCTGGCTTTCTTCACCTTCTGTGCCCACAGAGGGCTGGGGAGAGAGGAGAGGAAGAAATCATCAGGATCAAAATCATTTGCTGGAATTGAGAGAGCTCTGTTACTCCTCCCTTCCCCATGACTTCTCCCATAACTTGACATAAGAGGGGTCACCAGGAGCTCTTCTCAAGAGGTTCAAGGTATGCCAGAGACTGATGTCACATTTCCTGGCTGGGTAGTGGACCTGCTGATCTTCCCTAAAGTAGAAACATGGCATTGGAGCAGGACGGGGAGCAGCCTCCATAGTCAGTATGCACGGCAAGGATACAGGAGTTTCCATAGTAACACTGCAGACAGGAGCCAGGCTTCAGTTGTCTTGCCACCCTGGCCTCTCGGTAGGCATATCTCAGCAGCAAGAGAGGGTATGTGACCAATGCGAGCTGAGTGAGAGGAGAGTTAGAAGAGGCCAAGCCAGAGAAAGTCTCCCA